ATCAAGGACGAGCTGTCACTGAATGGCATGATGTCCACAACGTCGGACAGATTCTGGCGAGCCATTTCGGTCGCCGGAAGCGGTCACCCCTACTCTATGAAGTCTGGAACCTCTTTGGTCCACGCTGTCATGGAAAAGTACTTGTTCAGAGAAAAGATGCTCGCTTCTTGCTTTATGGCACCGGATCCCTTGACCGAAGCGAATAACCTCCATGATCCCAACTTGGAGCACGTGTTGCAGGACAAAGAGAGGTTGTATCAGTACTTGTTCGGAGATTCCGTAAGAGGAAGCCATGCATATCAGTCCACTGCAGGGGCTTCAGGTGAGAATGAGTCTGAGCGGAGGAAGAGGGAGAAGGTAAGGAGAGAGAACAAAATGCCATGGATGGATGAATACTGGGGAGTCCTTCAGCCAGAACCAATATACTCGAGGACCCAAAGATGGTACGTCATTGATGACTTCAAGGAGGGTGAGGAAATTTGCTGCGACTACTGTCTGGTCTGCAATCCCATAGACTCCGACTTGAAAGACGATTGCTATGCAGAATGCATCAACGGAGCAGCAAATAGATGCCGTGGGATGTCCGCAGAAGACTACGTCCAGAAGCGATTCCATGCATGTGCGCGATTGCTTCACAACTTCGGCATGGGGCAAACGGTATCTTCTCCCACCGTCATGATCTCCGAGATGAACCCGCACGTAGACTTGATGAAGTTCTTACACGAAGCGATGATCATCTTTAACGGGAACCCAGGTTTCCAGAAGGAGATCTCGTTCTTCGGGGGGATCAGGTTGTCATCAACAATGACGGAGAACTTCTTCAAAACGAGGAGAGGACCCAGCATCCATGTGGAAAAGCAGATAGTCGGCAGCGCCAAGTACTACCAGGGATCCTATGACCTTGGAAACGTGTGCTACACCAAATACCTCAAGACCATATTGGAGCCCGATGTATTCCGCACTATGTTCGGAGATGATCCCACGGAGGAACGGGTAGGTGACATGGTGGAAGCGCTGCTGGGCATGCTCGAAATTGCTCAACTCTTCAGGCACATGTTCAAGGGATGGGGTGACGTCGAAGCTTTGAGGACGGGATTAGAAGAATCCATCAAACGCGTCACTGCATCGCTGTACGACAGGACAACGTATGAGAACCGAAAGCGATCGACGATCAGAACCTTGGACCCGCACTCTGAAGAGGCGGCAAACGTGGCACTGATTCTCGTTCGCATGAGGACCATGCCGCCTCCTGAATTCGATATCGACCACTTCTTCGAAATTGGGAAAGAACCAGAACAGGGAACAGAGGCTACTGACCAGCCCGAGGCCGAAGGTGTCGATATGGAGACTGAAGGTGAACAGGAGAAGGAGGAGCAAGACGTTGACATGTCCGACCCGAAGACATCAATACTGCAAGCCATCGACGAATTCGAAGAGAAGATCGGGCAAGCAGAATTCTGCATCCACTGCATGAAGTCGGGACACACAACTCTCAATTTCATCTTCACCTACAGTCACCTCAGTGTTGAGTGATTGGAAGAAGAGAGTGAAGGGAGAGGTTGCACCCGACGATGTACCATCTGGACATCCAACCGAGGAGCCTAAGAAGAAGAAGCAGAGAGCATCGCCTACTCCAGATAGGAAGGTCGACAGCGAGTTCAGGCGAAAAGAAATGTTGAAAGCAAGAGTCGTGACAATTTTCGACCATGACGGATTCACCTTGATCGAAAGTGCTGATGGAGTCGAAGGAGGGACACATTCCTACAATGGGCGGAAGCTTGCGGAAGTAGGCCCTAGGGATATGAGGGTGGTGTACGAATTTGTAGAGAAGGCATTTGTGCACTCCAGTTCCCTCACACCAAAGGCATGTCATCACTTCTATCCCCTACCGACACGGAGGGAGAAGGATACAAGCCGATCGACCCCATGACGATGGTCGGGAAAGTTGAGCTAGTACCGATCAACGGAGTCACTTTCGCTGCACAGAACTCCGACTACGGCAACCACAAGTATCCGACTCCAGACTGTCGGGTACCTGAATACAGCCAAGCGAGCCAGGCCCTGAGTCGTCGATTGGGAGCGAAGTTGAGGCATCGAATTGGACGCCAGTTCAGGACAGGAGGAAGACTCACACCAATCAAATGCGATGAAGGCGCATGGGTGTCATGGGAAGACCTGTTAGGTGATAACGCAGTTTGGGAAGACGGTTATCACTATGGCAACATAGACATCGTGACCAAGAAGGCGCGTTTGGAGAAGTACTTCGACCAGAACTATGAGTGTTTCCGCATAACCAAGAGGATCAGATTCCAAATGTTGGCGGTCCGCGTTCACCCTGATGAACTCAATGACCCTGATGACCCGATGGAGAAGGAATGGATTGACGAACTCAAGGGCATGGGAATCTCCAAAGGAAGACTCCACCATAGCGATGGATGGTGCTTTCCCGTGGCTGTAAGAGCAACCTCAGCACACTCAACGGACGGCGGAGGTTATGACGTTACCATCAACATCGACCACATTGGATCGAGAATGACCAACGACATGGCCCTATCTATGGTGACTGCATTTCACGCTACCAATCTTGGAGCGCTGACTTCAATCATGCGACGGGGGCTAGTGCCAGGAGGTCTCGGTTCATCGGGAAGGGATTCTATCCACTTCACATGTTTTCCGCCATGGGCCTGGGAGCAGGGCTACAAGGGAAAACCTTGGCTGGGTCGTAAGGTCGCATTGAATGATCGCCCAGTGGTTCTCTACATTCCGGTGTGGAAGCTGCAGGAGTACGGACTTCTCATCTCAGCGACTGGATCTCTTTTGGTTGAGAACGTCGTTCCCTTCGATGAGGTTAAAGGGGCATGGTTGCAATGCGACAATGCGGAACCCGGACAGCCTGAGGAGATCGAATGGATCAGGTTACTCAACAGGGAACCCGACCCTGGAAGCTATCTTGTTCTGGAGTCCAAATACGGAAACCCGATCATGATTCCACGCTATCAAAAACTTGAGAGTTTGGCGGTTGAGGTTCAGGACGATACCTACTCCGAGGACGACGCCAAAATCTCAAAGCTGTTGGGCATGATCGAGGAGAGTGGTGTTTACCCAGAATATGATAGCACCGAGTGGCAGGAAATCTTTGAGGAGATCGTGTACCGCCGGGCAATGAAAGACTATGACTCAAGACCGTGTCCTAACTGTCTTGGCGAAGTCGATGTGCGATTGACGATATGTCCGCACTGCGTAGCGGTTTTGATCGCGAATGGGAAGCTCACGCATGTGGTACCCAAGGAGACAAGGGACCGCAATCAGCGATCACCTCCGAGGGATGTCCCAGCCAGTTCTTCCGGTGAAGCAACTTCTGCTGCAGGTGCAAACATCGATGAAGTCATCAAGAATGCACGCAAGACAGCCGAAGAGGTCATTGAGGTCGAGGAATCCGAAGGAGAGGAAGAGGAGGAAGTTCCTATCATTTTGAAGGAACGACCGGACGAAGCTGAAGGCGAACCCGAATACCGGGAGGTCCCTCAAGATGGATACGGGAATGAACTTCCGCAACCTTTCCCCTTCGCAATTGACGAATTGCCACAAGAAGCTGCGATCCCCATCGACCACAACTTTGCAGTCACACAATTTGATCTGAGGTTGATGAAGTTGATCAAGAGCTTGGCCAACGCAACGTTCGACATCAACTGCTTTGAGAGTCGTGATGATGTGCTGCGAAAGTTCGACGATGGACAGCGGCATGACACTCCATACAAAGATGGCCAATAGTACCGAATGATCCGGATACTGGGTTTCCAAGACGCCTTCAGAGAGCCGAGGTCGTAGGCATGAGCAAATGGACCAACGACGTGTATGCAACAGAAGCGTGGCAGATCTATGAATTCCACGCCCACGTTGTTCACCCGATGATGATCACTGCAATCCGCTGCGGGCTTAGCCACAAGTACCTCAAAGAGGTCGGCAGCACTCGGCGTAACATGAGTGATCCAAAGGCTCGAAGGTCTGAGACCCAGGAAGAGATCATCGAGAAACTGGCATTCATCTCAAATTTCATCAGACGCTTGATCAGGAAGACCTTCGGAGCGAGCCGATATAGTTACTACCAGAAACCAGATGACGAAGGTGCCGCTCCATACAAATTCATCGACATTAGTCCCGCCATCAAATCGGAGCGGAAGAATGTCACGAAGGAGATCCTCGTTGCATGCCGCTACTATGGCATAGAGGTATCCGATATTCAAGCACAGAAATTGAAGTTCTTCGAGGAGCAGATCCGAGCGGGAAACCCAAGGAACGTTGAGCCCATCAAGGACTACATTGGCTTTGTCGGAGCTGACTACATGCGACAACTCACGAATGGTTGAGCATTGGGGTCATACCGACATACTACATCCGGTACTTCAAGTACTGAGGGATCTTGGGTAATTCATGATGACCGTTTTGGCATCATGGGAGTGAGAGAGGATTGTGTTTCACACCGTTGGTAATCGCATGATACCATAGGTAGGTGCACGTTTTCCGTTTGTAGCTCCATTACCTGTTTGATCCAACTTTCAAGCGAATGCAAGATCGTTTGCTAATTCAGTTCAATAGGACATACTGGTTGACCTCCAATACACTTTTGAGAACGTGATTCGTTCTCCGGTTTTTACATCCACTCATCTCCCTTCCCCGTCGAAGTACGGATGTGGGGGGGGTGTCAATAGGGATGAGGTCTCAGTATAGTCGCTATACAGGTACATGCCATATACTTTTGGCTCAAGTGCCCAACCAGGTAAAAAGGAGCTTTAGCGCGCGAGCTTCATGTTGAACTAAGGGCTAGAACGGGGCCAGGGCACACTTTTCATCCGTTCGCAATTAATATGCCCATTGAGAGGAGTTGCCTGGGGTCTTTGGGGATTCATGCGAAGCGCAGTGGCCGCATTGGGATTCGTGGAGCGCTTGCTGCGGCACTTCTCCGCTTAGCCGCCTTCAAGTAAGCTGCTGAATTGGATCAGGTCACCATTGTCTCCGGGTTTGGCTTGCGAGATGCCAAGTGGAAGCCCAGCAGCAAGGGTGTCGGCCTTTCCTGTCACTTGGCCGCAAGAAGATTTCCCAAACTGACATTCACTCCAAGCTAGCCGCAGTTTTCTCTCCGAATAAGTACAAGCGTGGCGGATTGAAATGGGAAAGCAATTGCTGTATCGTGCTTCGTCCGTTTTGTTCGCCGTCACTTCCGGTTCAACAACGGTACATCCAAGCTCAACAATACTTAGTGACAGGCGGACAAATGCTCAAGTTGTCAGCACATGCCAGTTGATTCAATCACCACAACTACCATGATTCAGACGAGAAAACTTGGCAACAAATCCCGTACTGCAATGAGGGGTTGCCCTGCAATTAGTGTAATTGCTTCTCGGTCTCCATTGCGCTCCCCGCCCAAGGTGCTGTGGATGTTCATGGCAAGAAGGCCTGGAATGGGAATTCTATCTCGGAGGATTTTTGTATATGTTTTTTTGCGGCACATTGTTTGGATTGATCCTTTGAAGGAACCATGGAAGGCACCATGCGTTCGCCAGCATATTGAGCAACGAACCCTGAAAACCTTTGCATCATACTAGTAGCTATTGTTTGTGATGTTTGTGTTTGATCGGGGATGGACTGACAGATGGACAATGATGGACATGGGGATGCCCACTAAACCTGAAACATCCTGAAACACAAACCTTGGGGATGTCACTAACCTGCTTCGACACCCTCTCACCGTCACCGATTCTCCTTTCTCAACCTGAGGAGCGATTTGAAACAAAGGGCATCCACACCGCCAAGAACCCAGTTCCTCGGCATGCACGGTCAAGATTCCTCGTCTCGTTTGGAGGCCAAACGAACCTGAATCACTTCGACAAACTCCGGCGACAACGTTCACGCCATCAGCTGTGAAAACGTGCTCGTACCATCTCGTACCATCCCACTTGATCAGTGAGTAGGTCCCTTTGCATTAGTCAGCACTCCACTCTTGAACATCCACCACTTCATCCCTGGGGAACGTTTGTCGCACCTGTCGCGGTACCCACATGCAGCGACATGTAGCGAACAGTTGAAACCTATCGCTGGTGAGGCTCGCGGCGCTAGGCTGAGCTTTCAACTCGTGGGTGGGCCACCATATTGCGTCCGATCCAAGTCTTTGCTTAACACTCCACTCGAATTGGATGAGTCTGAGGAAACATCTGAAAGCATATGAACACATCTAAGTAGCGAAGAAGGAGGAGACGAGTAGATATATAGTGCCAGATAGTGCCAGTAAAAGCATGGGGTGCCACAAGGGGAAGGCCACAAGTTGTAGGCTTGTGCATGGGAAAGGTGGGAACGCCTTAGGAGAAGGAAATCCACGCTTTTAGCAGTCGCATTCTTCAGGGAAGTTGTCTAATTGGCCGATTGCCTTCATGAGAGACCTCGGGCTTTTTGTCCCAAGGGAGGCCAGGTTCACAAATCAATGACACAAACGCTTAAAGGAGCTTAGCTCTAAGCTTCATTTGCACGTGTGTTTCTGACCGTTTCGGTGGATCCAGAGGCAACAGGGCCTCATGGCTCAGGTTTGGAATCACAAAGCGGAGCTGCAGATGTCTTACAGCCCCTTGGATGATATGCTAGGCTTCTTCTGGTTTCTGTGGATCGTCCTCGCAGCGATGCAAGTGCCCCAGCACACGCTCCAAGCTTCCAATCGTTCAGCGCCTACACTGCACCGTGTGAATGGTTAAGAACGCAACAATCAATACCCCGCGCTTGACCAACAGCACAGCAGATGCAGGAAGCACTCATGTACTCAAGTCGCTATGGCATGGTTGCCACTCCAGAGAATATTGAAGTTGTTGGAGAAAAGTGCTGTGCTGTCAGTGCTGTTTGAGTCGATTCCTCTCAGTGCGAGCGCCGAGGTGACACGCTGTGCTTTGCTGTACAGGGCGAACAGAAGTTGGGACAGGCTAGCAGAAGTTGTTGAGGACTGGCCTGAAAAGGCATCAAAGTCAAAGTGATACGCTGGGACGAGCGACCAGCCTGATTCCCTTTCATACTATTTCCTACTATCAGTTCTTGCAGGCAAACACATGCCTGTGCCCAGTAGCGCGGCCTTTGTGTAGGGAACCTGAACAGATCACACACCGTGACAAGATGAATCCGCAGGATGCGGCGACCAACGTCAAAACTAATAAACTAGAATAAGATTCTTACCCTTTCCCGGCCACAAGTGATAGAGTTCAATCAGGAAGAATACAGGTAATGTAGACCTTTGATTATTAAATATGAAGAGGTTATAATACAGTACTGCATACAATAACCCAAATCAATCCAAATGCTTATTATTGTTCTAAATAAAACAAGCGTATACAGAAACTGAAACTTTTCGGAGTGGCAATCAGTCAGTCAGGCCTTGCTACCAGCCTCTCGAGTGGTCGCGGCAGGAGCGGGTCCAGTTTTCCAGAAAGTGAAAAAAACAGTGGCGATGACTTTATAGCTATAGAGTTGCTCCTGCCTTTCGTAGGACCCAGATTGTTTTGCGTCTATTGCATGGTTTAGTACTAGCCTTGCACATGCACAGACAACCTCAAGAGTGTAACTTTGCCCTAGATCAATTGAATAGACAATGTTATTTTTACCGTGTCAGACATTGGCTCCTGTGTCTCCTGGTGACAGCAGTCACTGGACTAGTTTGGGAGCCGTCGTGCTATTTCAGGCAATTGGTTTGCCAACTTGAGAACCTCCTCCAGAGACAGACACACTTGCACAGGTCGTCAGCATATTCTGCTCATCCTTCCCAGGATCCGACGGCTATGACGGAAATTTGGCTTTGGAAGAGAGGGCCACTGAGGTTGCGGCTGATGCTGTCATCAAGGCTGGCGCTAGGGCTGATGTTTTTCAGCAGAGAAGGATTTGGTTGTCATAATTGTGCATGTGTAAAGTTATGTGGTGCGTTTCTCCAGAAGACCGGTGTCGATCACACCCTGGGAGATGCGGCGAACGCCTCATGGGCCATTGTTAAGGCTCAAACATCACCATGGTTTGCCAAGATTAACGGTGCAGACTGATAAAGGTGATGTTGATAGGTTCCCGTGTCATCCTCATTTCTTTGAAACCAATCCTGAGCATAAGCCACAAGTGAATCGTGTTGCTCAAACCGGTTTTTGTGGAGGATAATGGGAGTTGCTTGACTCAACCATTGTCGTGGACATGTTCTCTCACGCTGAGACAGTAGCAACCCTATTTCTATGTGCCTCCGGGCTTTATACTGTATATGATATGACTCACCCCACGCAGGTTGCCACTGGCCACAGTGTTCTGTTTCAAATTTTCTCTCCTTCCTTGTGTACCTCGAACCACCCAAGGGCGACTGAATGTTGTACGTCATTTACGTCCACGCAGCCAGCCTAACTTACAAGCGCCAAATGACAAGCGCATGATGCATTCAAGTCATGAGCATGCTGCATGAGGAAGCTTGCTCGCCGCAGGGCCCAATCCAATGGAAACAGTAGAGAGAGAGAGAGAGTGGACAAGACAGTATAGTCGGCACGCATGGCTTACCTCGTCATTAATCAAGTCAACTTCCGAAGTGTCGATACTTTGTCAGCTTTGCGTGCTTAGATTCAGCATGCTAGTACCGTGACCTTGAGACAACAGGATGTGCTCGTTGTGCTCGCGCTTTGACATGCAATTTTTGTCTTTGCCATGCCACTGGACTTAGCCTCCAGTCGCTTGCGCTCAGCTGGGCTTGCCTCAGCAACCTGCTTGCTGAGCCTGTACGCAGGAGGAGACGAGACGAGTCAGTTTTCTCTCTTCATCGATGTGTGACAATTGTTCGGACATGTTCGGACGCAGGGGATGGGTTTTCAACCTTGGCCAACACCAACGCAGTCACAAGCCGTGAACTTAGTTTGCCCAATCTGCTATTTTTGCTTTGGCTTGCCACGTGTGCCACACAAATGTCCTAGGTATGGGGAATGAGGAGCACCGAAGGACTCAGAAAGGCAGTGCCCAAAAGGCAGGGTCTCACAAAAGTTCTTTAATCGTCGTTGTACTTTGGGTGTCTTCACGTGGTTTCACATGTGCCAGAGTGTCACTTTGATGCTGTTTTGGACAAAATCCAAAAAGATCTTAAAATGCAAGGGAAGGTTGTATACTGTATACCGTACTGTAAGTAGATCGTTGGTTAGCAAGGCTAGCGCACAGTGGACTTGCTTTGCTGAAGTGCCACTAGGATCTGCGGTAACCGATGACATTCATGCTAACATGTTAGCATCGATGTGCCTGGCAGGGTCCAAGAGGATATTTGTGCTGCGGCATCTTGCTGACGAGCGCTGCTCTCGGTGCCTTCCGCAGAAGGCGCATGTGAGTATTCTTTAGGCCATTTTGCTAGGCTATGTTTGAAATAGGCGCAATTTCACAAGGCACTTTTTGCGTCGTTTGACGCAAGTCCGGTTAGTTTTTCAGGACACCAGCCAGCGGATCCAGGGCACAAGTCATCCCTGAAAGCCAGTGGCTCAGCGGCAACATGTAGTCAGCGACAGTTGTTTAGCACTGCGTGCTGGCCCACCACTGTTGCCAGTGTTTGTTTTTTCCTGCAAACCTCCTCGATAAAGTTGCGCATATGAGCCAATGAGCCCTAAGTCATCATTTTTTTTAGAAATGGTTTCTAGAAATGGATAGAAATGGTGATTGAGTTGAGTTGAAAAGGAATAAAGCTGTTTAGTCACTTTAGTCTCTTGGATCCGTATGACGACTTTGCAAGTGTGGATGTCCAAGACCAAGCGACACTGTACATTCTAGGCATCCCAGCATACATCAACGACCGGCGGCAGGAGTCACAAACCCATGCATGTTGTTCGAAAGTTAGCGTGAACATTGAACGGTTCAGTTTTTTCCCGGGTATCTTGGGCGCATGCCATAGAAGGCAACGGGTGTAATGTGAAGAATTTGGTGCACGGCCGCTGCACAATTGACACTGCGAGTGCAGAGCTCACAACATTCTCAGATGTAAAGAGAAGAAGCATGTCCATCATGTCCGATTTCTCACTTCCAAACATGTGGGTTGAACTAGTTTGTCGAAGTGTCGTGCTGTATGATACTGTATGCAAATATATGCAATTGTCGTTAATTGGACGATCATGGAAGCTCCCTTCCTGGACGGGAATGTGATCCAAGGAAAGGCTGGGCAGTTGCAGTGTCGCGATTCCAAGTCGTAGGCAAGTGGGAAAGACATGGGCGAAGCGAGAAGCACCGTTATTTCATGTCAATTCCCTACTGTAATTAGCATGGATGATAGTGCACATGAAAGGCAGGCTTGAGCTAAAGACATTTAGAGTTTACAGGCTGGCTGCTGGCTGGCTTGATTTTCATAAGCTCAGACAACAATAATAGCCGTGCTGCCATCTGTATGTGAATCATGTGGCTTAGAGCAATTCATGAGTGCCGACGTTCACAGCTTCCAATCATGATGGCCACGGCTAGGACACAAATGCAATGGTGAAAACCCTGTGGTGTTCGTGAGGACATCGGTGGGTCAAAACTCGGGCACCCTGATTGACCACAAGAAAAAAATATGATTTCTCTGAAAAACGGATGTCAATCTTCCATGGTTTGGTGGAAGAGGTTTTGACTCACAGCCATGTATGGACTCGATCAATCTGGAGAAGCACAGGTATCTCAAGGCGGCTGCCCTGGCGTGGCCCACAAGCCCACATGCAAATGTTCGGAAGCTAAGGGTGTCAAATTCTGACTCATCGAACAACTTCCACAACAGACGTGCAGCAGTAGGGACGTACTACTTGTAGGGACTACTTTGAGTCTGGAGAGGCTCTGGTTGCATTCTTGCGGCACAATACGCGCTCCTTTTGATCTTTGGGGTCTATGGTTCGGAGCTTCTTGACCCAAGTGCCTTGGACGGAGCACAACAGGTCTATGAGTGTGGGGCAAGAGGAGGTGGCCTGAGGCGTCACTACTAGTGCCAATATTACTAGTGCAGACTCTATAGTGCCATTCAGCACCGGCAGATCCATGATGTTGGCATTGCATGGCATTGCCATATCAGGGACTGGTTGTGCAAGAAGACAGGTGGTTCTTGCCTCTATCACATCTGGGTTCCCTGCCAAGGAGATGCAAACAAGCTTTATGCAGCGGCTAATTGGGGCGCTTGCTTTCTTTCTGCGCCTGCAGGGCTTTGCTTTGATGCGCTGGGCCCAGCTTGGTCGTGGCCTGAGTACGTTGCTGTTGGAATACTCTCCACAGTCAAATTTTTTGCACATTGTGTACCTACACTACTGTAAACCCTCTGATTGATGGGAGTGGACGGAACTGATTTGCAAAAAGACAGTCTTCCAGGTTCGTGTGGTGCCTGCTTCCATATTCGGACTCCACGTTGGAAAGCAAGGAAAAACCTGCCGAAAGAAACGTGTTTCTTGACTGAAGAGGTGTGAACTTGACCGAGCGCCTCGGAGGTCGTCCTTGCTGGGTGGCCTGGCCAGTTCGTTTGGCCTCGCCCTTGCAGCTCTTGCGCTGTCAGCGGCGCAAGGGGCCACTTCGCCAGGGCCCCAGACACTTAGGAGTTCACCAAGTCGGTGTTGCCCAAGAAGCAGGACCACAACGGAATGTTCCATTTTAAGACGGTGACCCACGAAGAAACCCCCAGTTGTTGCAATTGCGATTTCAAGATCTCGTTTTTTTAAAATAAATATTTGGACAATCAGTCAACTTGAGGCTTTTTGTGGCCTCATTGGGCTACTTGGTCTTTGGATTTGGCACTACGCTGCTGAACACTGCAGCTTGCTTGACTCAAAGAGCACGTGTTCAGATTGAGGGTTCACTTGTTCAATTGCAGCCTGCAGCCTCCATGATGTTGCATCACCAAACGCATCATACAGTTTTTGAATAGGCGAGCAAACCCCGAGTCAGGAGGAAAGAGGGCTCGATTCCTTTGGTGGAGCACCGGTTTTGTGCAATCTGATCGATTCAGCCATGGTGAATGCTTGGTGCTATTGAAGTGCTTGAAGTGCCCGTCCTGCTGCTTTTGGATCAAGTGGTTGTTTTTTGTTTCTTCTTTTGAGACTGTTGAGAAAGGAGTTGAAGTCCTGTAGCACATTAGGTATAGTATGATATGATGATATAGTATTGTTCAGTATCAGTAGTATATATATCCTTACAACAGACTGGAATGCCAGTCAGTCTCCTTATATAAAAGGTTGCACCTCCGAACCCGCTGCTCATTCCAAACATGATTCCGCCGCATCCCATGAAGGTCTGATTTGACAGACCGGAAGGCCATGGTGATTGTCCATGCGTTTGAACCTGCCCCCTGGAACGAATCTGCTCCTGGGGCACCATGGGGTGGCCAATCGACCATTTGGGACGCCTGCAGGGATTTGATGCTGGCAGAGAAGGGCCGGTATGATCAGCCAAACCACCTAAAGGCTACTCGTTTGCATTTTGAGTTGCCCCAACATAGTGAGCAGCCAGGCATCAAGGAACCCCCACGGAGTGCTACACTGCGGCGCATGCCACAGTGGCCAGCTCCAACATTTGATAGCGCTGCCTACAAGACACTGCAAATGAAACTGCCACCAGAGCCAATACCACCATTACCTTCAGCACATGGTCGCTTAGATGGACAGGGTGAAGGTCCTAAAGCTGGAGTGGGGCCTGGACCAGAAGAGGTTGAGGAGAACTTGGAGTTGCCTTTGGAACTGAAGTGGCCAGGTGTGCGTCGGGTGGCATGGGCCGTCCCTGGTGACAAGGAGTTCGGGGCACGTGCAAACTCTGCAAGCCCGCGTTACGCACCCCTGCGCTACGGTGCTGCCATTGTTCGACAGCAGCGTGTCTCGAGAGCACGCTCTGCGCTACAACATTCAGCCTCCCAAA